AGTTCTGAAGCCATCCAGTTCGACCGAACTCCGTGCTGGATGTGTCGATGACGGCAGAAAATCGACTCCCACTCCACTCACAGCCTCGTACTAGCCAACCCACTCCATACGGCCCAGCACTGGCCAGACTTGAGCCAACGCCCGGCAGTCCGGAGGCAGTGGAACCCGACACCTCTGGACATTCAGCCCGTTGCCAAGTTTGAAGGATATATCCACTTACCCTGAACGCATGTAAGCGCTCGGGCTTGTGAAGGCCTTGCAGGACATATTGTTTATTTTGAGGATTGAAAGGAGGCAGAATGTGATTCGGTGAGTTCCGGGATTTGATGCAAGCATGAAATATCTGCGCTGGACCTATCAACTCAGAAGCTGCAGGGAGAGCACATCATTCGTCATTCGTCATTCGTAGCCTTTTGCAACTCGCATGTACCCCATTCACGGCATAATGCAAGCCCAACACTGGATAACATGATTATTGGGGATGTGGCAGGGTTGGGCATGCAACCGAAATTGAGGCCGCTCTCACCTCCAGGCCCACCAAAGCGGTGCTTTCCGAACTTTGGCTTGCCGTTCTTCAAGGTGTTCCCCGGGGTATAATCGCACCTCGATTTGGCACAATTCCAAAAAGGCCAATGTCACAGATCTCCCAGGTTCTCCTTTCTCCCTCGCAGGGTCAACCACTCGTGCCGCCCATCCCTGCACGGGTCACCAAGGCCGCGTCGCAAGCGCGCCCTTCTCCGGCGTCTCTGTTCTTGGCTTGCCTCCCTGCAGTCCCGATGTGGCAATTCACTACCATCTCTGCCCAAACGCACACGACCACGATGGGATCAAAATATTCTACCAGGATCGAATCCTGGCAGCCCCATGCTCGGGCCTGAAAAAAGTACAAAATATTCGCTTCAGCACATGACATGGAAGTAAGGGAAGTAAGGGTGGGGATGCAGTAGCGAGCCAAGGTAAGCCTAGGGCGGGGATTTCTGTAGCGAGCCAAGGCTAGTGCTCACCGAATTGCCTCCGGCCCGCCTGACGGGGAGACCAGGAGGCCTCCACATCCCTTCGCTCTGACAACGGTTGCGCCTGCCTGGCCAAGCGCGCGACTTGTGTTGGCGCCACATGTTGCTCAAACATCTTGAAACGTGGTTACGCTGTCTCCCACTAACATGACACCTGAAAGGGGGTCCCAAGAGGAAAGTGATCTTCCAGATGCCCTCCCACAGGTGCGACGATAGTGGGAGGGAGGGTAAATCCTTTGAACAACCTCCTTTGTTCAAACATGCTGTTCAAACATCTTCAATGTTAAGTTCCAATGTTGCTTGGCCAACCTCCTTTTGGTCTCCCTGTGGAATTTCTTTGTTTAAACACATTTTGCCGAACCCTGGTCACCACCTTATTTCTTGCGAGACGGGGTCCCGACACCTCGGATTTCAATGCCTCAATGGCCTCCCCTCCATCCAATAGCTTCAATAGCTTCACGGGCGCGCCCTCGTATCTTTGGAGTGCGCCAGGCGTTGTGGTCCTTGGGCCAATGACATGGCCCAGGGCAAATCCTCACCAGTGCGGCCATGTCTGTGATTTCTACCTGGCTTGGTCACAGGTCAGCTAGCTACCAGTGTTCTGTTGCTAAGCCTTGCAGCAAATCACTTTCGTAAGCAAACGCCGCGCTCTTTGCTCATTGGTGCGCACAAGGCAAATCTAATGGGCCACGGATCTGTTTTATAGCTCCGGCATCCAAAAGTGTCACAGTCTACAATATGATTCCCGAGGCCGGTGCAAAGTCGGGGTGGTCATCCACGAATGCTGGCCTGAGAACAGCTGAATCACCAGGAATGCTGGTGCACCGGAAGCTGACAGAGCAACTGCGCAATGGAATCGTTTGAAGGCAACTATGCAACTGGAACACTGCAAAGGGAGAACTGCCGGCTGTCCAGTTGGGATTGGCTGGCATCAAGATATGGATTGGATTGCTTGAGATGCCTGGAGGCAACTGCTGCAACGGCAATACTTCTTCCAGCACCACCTTCCCTACACGTGCGCTATAAGCACTACTTTTCCCTTTCGCCTACATAGAGAATCAAGCAGGCGGTTGGTTGTTGGTTCCATTACCGTCACACCGACTAACGTGGAAAGACAACTTTCCTATTGGAAAGGGGCTTTGTGCACTTCCATATTAGTTGGCGGGAGGGTAAGCTCAGCCATGGCTAGCACCTAAGCCATTGGGCGCAAGGCAGCCCTCCAGTGCTTCCTTGAAAGGATTTTCACTCACATGCAAAACTAAGGGAGTGTACCGAAGTGTAAAGAATAGGGCGCTTGGCTTGGGACTTTCTTTTCCGGCTTCTCATGGCTCGTTCATCAGGCCATTGAAGCCATTTGAAGCCCCCACCCCAAACCCCAAATCTCTGGGCCGCCCGAGCGTTCCGTACTTGGGCTTCGGCTTCGAAGCGACTCCCCCGCCCATGCCTCACACCTCCCGAAGCGCTTCTCGCGCAATCACATGCTTGCGTAACCTGAACAAGTGACCATCCAGCCCCGTCAGTGCGAGCACAGGGGGGCACTACGAGCTGTACAGGTCACATGCCTGCAGGGATCAGCGGCATTCAACGGCGGCATTTTTTTGCGCAGAAGGAACTGAAGTGCTGCCTGTTGCCGCTTAGCCTTCCGTGTCCATGTTGCGACCTTTCCGCTTCCACGAATTCGGCCTCACAGGGCCACAGGAGCCACAGCCTGGAACACAACTTCCACCCGCCCACCATCCAGTCAACTGCGAAATCTGGGCTTGCCCCCAGGCCTGCAATCGATCTAGGCGGCATGGGCCTGGAGCTGGCAGCAAAACAGTGCTGGGGTTGATCAAAAGGTCCGATAAACATGGGATGACCCTTGGGGGAAACCACTACAAAAATGACGTTCCCAGCAAAAGAAGGTCGGGTACAGTTATTGCCCGAGGGTCATGCTTGCAGAACAAGGGAACCAGGGAGAGGAGAAGCCCCCACGCAAGGCTAGTGCACCACAGTTTGGCCCCCATCAGGCCAATGAATAGAAATGCCTTGATAGTCAATGATTCTTCAGTCGATGCCGGAAGTGGAACAGCATGTTCAAGTCGATAGCGACAGGGAGAAGCGTTCAAAAGCAACCTCTGCAGGGTCAAAAGCAAACGCACAAAGAAGTCCACACCGGAAAGTCCTGGTGGATAGGCAAGCCGTTCTTTGAACAATCTCGTCCTAAGCCTGTCCGAGTGTCCCGCCACTTACTTGAATGCAAGCTTGCGACTCAAACTTATCCAAACTTTCTACCTAAATGTATATATATATATATGTATATGTATACTGTACATGTATTGTTCCAGCATCTTGCATTATCTTCCTAAAGCAAAAACACATCTTCACCGAAGGCCGGGGATCGAATTACCGGGCTCCAGGCTGAGGCTGCGCCCAAGGGCCCCATGCTTGAGCCGGCGCTTGGAGATGTCCCATGCGGTCCAGGCGCCCAGAAAAAAAAATCCCAGCGGCCAACCTGGCTAGTGATCAGCCCAAAAAAAAGTGTACACTTTTTGGGCCACCACTAGAATAAACCGAGAGCCACGAAGGAATAAAGTGTAAAGCGAAGTTGCAACAACTTCCGTTCCGGAACCCGTTGGCTGCACACCGTTCAATAAGTTTAAGTGAGACGAGCTGCGGACTTTATAAACAGTGACCAGATCGCACGGTATGAATTGCATCATTGGCCCTGGCCCGGATATTTGCAATGTGAATCCCAGCCCCATTTCTCATTGCGAGCGATGCCGGGACCATGTATGACTTTACCTGCCGATCCCGGAGCTGCGTGAGCTCACAAAGCACTCACCAGGTGTGCAAACAGAAGCCCATCCTTTGAGCCGTAGGCCACCTCTACAGAAACATGGCTGATGTTTTGATGAGGCTAGGTCCTCCAGTAAAGAGGTTAGAATAAGGGCACCCGTTTTCTGTAGTCTATTTTAGAAGGGGAACCCTCCCCCAAAAAAGGCTAAAAGGGCACTACTGGGGGACCTAGGACCTAGGAGGGCTTCCGCTCTGAAACGAGGCCTGGTTTGGGGTGTGGGATCGGACAAGTGGACGCAAGAGTGCACTGCACGCGTGCGGGCGCACTCACCTACTCCTTCACGTTATTCACACATGTTTGAGCTTATACAATTAGTGCCGGAACATATCCCAAAAACAGCCTTCCCAGCACTATGTGCAGCTGGTACGTGGAATGTTGTTTGGTTGGCCTCTGGCCAAGATGCATGAGAGGAAACAACAACGGCTTGCGCGTGTCCAAAGGGCCGCCTGCCCAGGCTTTCATGCGCCTGTCAAGCAAAGCTATGCCCTTGCCCCACATAGCACCAGGACTAAAGCATCGAATTTGTCTAAACATCGAAGCCAAGAAGTGGAAACGCCTCACTGACTGCCACTCAGCTAGGCCGCCGCGCTCGTTTTCACGCCAAGTCAGTGAGTTTTCGAAGGTTGCCTGCCCTTCGAATCCCTCTGGTCAGGTGAAATGATCAGCGGCCATTCCCATGGGGAATGTCAAGTCCACAAGCCTTCCGGGGCTTAGCCCAAGGCACAAATTTGTGAAAAGATATAAAACTGACGAGAATCATTCCACATCTCCTTGGGAGAGTGCGGATGAGTTGGACGACATGCCGTCCAGCCAGCAGCTACTGCTCCCCCGCACGACAGCCTTTTCCCCCACGTGGCAAAATAGTACCCAAAGGCAGGATCCCGTAGAAATATGCATATGGTGTGGCCTCACAACGCCTGACATAGGAAAATCAACACCCTGTGCTTCAAAGCCCTCAGCTGGGCGGGAGACTTGCACGGGGCCTCTTGGAAGCCCCGGCTCAACTGCCGTGATCGTAGTGACCATGGGTTTGGCCCTCAGCTCCGTCTTTGTTCTCAACCCTGGGCTGTCCTCAGATCCCCCGCTAAAAGCTGAACGTTTGGTGAGTCAAATGGAAATCCAACCACTAAACACTAA